GACGCAAAGCCACAGAGCATCTCCTGGCTGAGCCTGCCCCGAAGGTTCCAGAAGAAATAAAATAGGGTCTAAAAGTTGGATCAAAACCAAAGCCCTGGGGAGAACAGGGCTTGAGCCCTGAGAAACACCAGCTGAGGCAGCAATGGTCAAAACCCACCTTCAGGTCACCCGAAATGTTGGCCCCAGCCAGGATGCCGGTTGCTGATGGGAAGAAAATGGAAAACAAGCCGAAGAAGGAGCCCTCGGGTCCACGCCAGCTGGGCACGAAGTTCTGGGCAAAGATGTCGGCTGGGGAGGAAGCAGAGGAGAAGCATTTGGGGCCTCCCAACCGCCTTTCTCCTGGCTGAAGCATCTCAGCGCTTGGATGGAGGCACACCGCTGATGGTAGGTAACCCACGGAGGAAGACACCACGCTTTTAATGACGTCTCTCAGTGAGGAGCACCTTCCCATAGCAAAGTCCTCTCCCAACAGCAGCAAAGGGCCGGGCTCCAGCGATGCGCTTGGACCTGTTGAGCGTAATCCCAACCCATGGTGGACCCACCTCGGTAGCTGAAGAAGCCCTTCGCTTGCTTCTCGGCGCTGGCCGGGATCACTGTCCCCACCAGATAATTTATGAAGGAAACCAGGATGACCAGGAAAAACAGTATCTGTGCCTGCCAGACCAGAAAGAGCCAGCTGAGGGCTTGGGGTTTGGGCACCGAGAGGGTGAAAAACTCATTAGGAGAAACCCCCCCCTGTTTTCGGGGAGCTACAGGCATCCTCTGCTCCTCGGATGCCTGGTGGGCAGCGGGGACGGCTCTTATCAGCCCAAGGGAATAAGGTGAGCGGAAGAAGCGAGCGTTACCTTGGCCTCCCACTCCATGCCGGCCAGGGAGATGCCCAGCAGCACCGTCACGGTGACGACCCCGATGATGCGGATGTCGTTGGTGGGGTCCACGATGAGGGAGTTGTGCTCCTGGGGAGGGGAAACCATCCACAACGTGGAAATAACCCTTTCCCTTACCAAACCACTGGGATTGCCACGGGTTTTAGCAGCCGGTGGTTGATTATCGGTGGCCCAATGTTAACACAGATGTTGATAATTAATGCAGCCTACGTGGGGAGGAGGTGGGGATGGAGGAGGTGGGGATGGAGGAGGTGGGATGGAGGAGGTGAGGACGGAGGACGTGGGGATGGAGGAGGTGGAGGGGACGGGACCCAGAGGACACACAGAGCCGCTTTCTTACCTGCAGCAGGTCCCGGACAGTTTCGGCAAAGCCCACTGTGTGCATGGCCACGGCCACTGCGTTCGCGAAGGCAAAGATGAGCCCGATGGAGCCGCCCAGCTCCGGCCC